TAGCCACAAAATATTTGAAAAACAAAATACTGCTATAATATCATTACTTTGTTATTGTATTACTTTTTCATTAATTTATCTTTTACAATTCTGTCAACATCAACATCAATATTGGTAGTAGCTAGAAAAGGTTTAGCGGGCCGCATGTGGCCCGCGGGCCATCGGGCCATTTGGACAGCTCTGCTTTAGGATATTCAGTTTCACTTCTAAAATACTGTATTAAAATTATGTTAATAACTTTAATAAAATTATCTCACATGTTCATTGGTTGTTACCACTCCAAAGAATATTAACTAAATAAATAATAGTTTATACAGCAAACATTGTTACACTTACAAAATGGTTCATACAGAGTAAAATAACATGTATAAGAGATGAAGGCGTTATGCAGTGTTTGGCGAAATGCTCCTCGCTCAGCGTTACGCTGCCGTCGAGGAGCTACAGCGCTTATTTTCAGCGAGAGCTCTTTGGGTAGGACCTAATTTAAATCAATATGCTTATTTACATATTTATCATCATCATCATTTCAGCCATTATCCGTCCACTGCTGGACATAGGCCTCCCCCATAGACTGCCATATTTATGTTATGGTTTTTTTTATTTATGTTTTCTTTATTGACTACATTATAGAAAAAGACTGGTACAAAATATGGACTTAATGCTGTATATATAGCATTAAGTCCGTATTTTACAAAACAGAAATGTAATTTAGTTCTATCGTTGTAAAACTTACAAATGGTTTAACAACAATCACCAGAGACGCCATAAAGGATGCTCCTAATTAATTTTATATACAGCGTTCAATAAAACGTGTTATGACATAATATTAAATCATCGAGATGTCAAAAACAAAAAAAAAAAAAACTGGTCCGTAACAAGAATTTAATCAACGTTCGCCCACAAAAAACCCGGGCGCGCCACAAAGCCAGGGTTGTCACTTCACTAAACAAGGTGAGGTAATTGATAGGAATCAGGGAATTTCCTCGAGGGTCAAGCACTGTAATTGGTGGCCGCGAGCGAGAACTGTCCGCTCCATTGACCGTTTGTAGTGGTGAAGTAAGATTGAGGGCTGTCGACAATATTGGAAAAGAGGCCAATTTTTATCTAACCTAATAATGTTATAAATAGGAAAGTTTTTTTTTTTAATACTTAACCGATTTTGAAAATTCTTTCGTGTATAATGTTACGTTATCACCAAATAACATAGACGATATTGGGGGGAAAAGGATTGTTAGCAATGGAGTTTGACAGCCCCATTGCTAGCAATATACCTTATTAGGTCGACCTCCATGTGGTTCCCCTGGAAACCATCGCGAACAATTCTTGTTGAATTCGTCACTATGGGCTAACTGATCTGCTTCATCCTCACCTATCATCCTTCACTGGTGCCCCGCCGGTGTATACCGATAGCGCAGGTGGGGTTACCATTCCATTATCATCCATTAAAAAAAAAAACATAGGCGATATTTTAAATCGTAGGAATTTTTAATATTTACTTATGCGTACCCGGGGCGGGTTGTATATATTCAATAAAAAAGTTAATTTCTTTGTATTTTTTGTATTAGAAGTAATAAGTTAAAGATATTAAGAGACGGCTTTCGTATTTTCTTAAAGTATAAACCACTGTATTGGATTGTGTCGTGAAAAAGTAATGTGCCTCAAGGCAGGGGCGCAGCTTTGCTCGCAACCCGTTATTTTCTGTTCCCGTGGGAATTTTGGTAGACCTTTTTAGACCATTGATGGTGTTGATTATTGGTGCTTCGATATACTCCATTATTTAGGATCTCAATTATCCATATAATTATACGCAACTCGGAATAGTATACAATAAACATTTTGTTTGAATTTAGATAAGAATTTGAAAAGAAAGAAATATTTTTATTCAAGTAAACTTAGATTATACTAAATATTATGTTATATAGGGACGTCAAAGATAGAGCCGGCTGGAAGAAAATGCATGAATTAGTTGCACCGACAAGAGGAATTTAAGCAATTTTAAATAGTCTTTTTTTTTTTCATTACGTATCGTACTATTAAATAATTATAACTTATAATCGGAGAATTTGTTATAGTATAATTTACAGAAATGGTTACAATTTATAATTGTTTCATGAAGTGAGAAAGAGATGTAAAATGTTTATTGATATGGATAAGTGGCTGTTGAGTAAGCAACTAGTACGACCAAATTGAAATTTAGTTACTATTCGAATTACTAAACATCAGAGGCAACCCTGAATGCATTATCTGTTGGTTTAGCACTGTCATTATCGCGAACGTGATCCTGTGAATTAAAATGATAATTTTGCGTGATATTTATGAATTTCCTGTACTGCTTATTTATTTTCACCTAACCAGCTGTAAACCCGTTTTTACGCACTGCATTTTATCTGTAGCTGAATATTTAAAACGAAATATTTATCATTTTGTGATTTCTGTCTGAGCGTTGAAGTTAATAATGATAATGTATTCTGTTATTCTATTATATTACTAACCTATGATGTTTCACTAATGGACAAAGACCCATCTTCTAAAACTGTACAGCGCCACCTCAAACCAGTCCCTTTTAAATGCATCCGAGTCGTTACGCCATTGCTTCTTAGGCCAGCCTCGGCTACGCTTTTCGTCAGTAGGCATCCACTGGAGTGAAGTGGAAACCCACAAATGGAGATCTTTGCCTACCTATCAGAATCCATATGGCTAATGTTACCCGCCTAATCCTATTTAAATTTGGCTGACTTTTAATCTATATTGGATACACTATCAATTTGTTTTATTCCTTACTATTATATGTATTATTGAATTAAATTTTATTTTTTTATCTAACTTAGAATGACAAACAAGCTGACGGTAGACCTGATAGAAAGTGGTAACAGTTACCATCGTCGTTTTTGTCGTTTAAATATAACAGTCGTTCAATTGATTTACAGTACGTAGACTCTACTTATACTACTCTACATTGTGGAATACTAATATACATAGTTAAAAAAATTAAAATTTTTAAATGAGATGTAGTAATTATAGTACCATTATAGTAAAAAACTAAAACTACTACGAAAATACTGAGTTATATTAATGCGTATCCGACACGGTTTTGGATGGTATATTTTTTCTTGTGAGTGCCAACCCTATTAGTACGCATTGTCGATCCATCGAGCACCGTCATTAATGTCATTAAACTATGAAAGACTACGTGTCTAGTAGAATTTGTTCTCACAATAACAAATGCATTTGAATTCATTAGTTGTTTTAAAAAATCCCTGATATTTAAATATCCACAAAAAAAACTGCTTCAGTTTTGACAAAATGTATATATGTATGTGTATATATATAGCTTTTTCTTTTATATATTCATATTTTTATTATATTCTAAAAATATTTTATATTGAATATGAAATACGTTACACAACTTCGGTATGACATGTAAACGGTTACCCTTGTGTAATCTCGCTTAAAAAATTACCGATAAATTGGGGAAATCCGTTACCCTTGATTTGGGGTACACACGTCCGAGTGGGGTAAACTGATTCGGACTCATCCAATTACGACCCCACTATAGACGAAAGTATTTGAGGGCGTATTCTGTAGTTATTACAAAAGTTAAAACTGTTCGATAGATTTAATCTGAAGTAATATTTTTATTCGATTCTTATATTCATAGTAATATTATTTTTTTAAATAAATAATAAAGCATTAATAAAAAAAAAATCACCTTACATATTCTAATATTATATATTAGGTATTGTTGAACCAGGTTTATTACGCAAAGAAACCAAAATGCAAATAGTCTATACTTAGGTACATACCAGGGAGTTATATTTATTTAAAAATATAAGTAAAGCAAATATAAAATTCAAGCTACAGAAACATAACATTACGTAGTCATTCCGTTTGAATATCCTAATAAATAAACAATTAGTTACATACCTATTTAAACAGCATTACATTGTTACCTGTACGTGCTAAATAAATATTCATTATTTTGCTAATTAATAAGTCAATATTTGGCATAGATTTAGACGTTTAACGCCAAATTAGTTAATTACCGAGTAGCAATGATGTTTTTATGAATGAAGGCGTTGTTACAAATACTGTAGTATTGTAGTTTTGATTTATTATTATGCAAATATTAAAATTTGACTACACATTTTTAGCATTACCCCTTACAAAATTAAATTTATACCATTTTTTATCATATTTTTACCATTCAATTAACAATTTTATATTCACTGTCAACCGATAGTACAAGGCAATAGATAATCCTTTTATATCGTATACGAAAATAATAGAAGGAAATATATATATATTATAAGTTTGTCGAGTGATTACAGAATAGTCCCCTAACAATATCGATGAGGTGTTGGGATTTCAAACGCTCTATTGGTTCCGTAATAGCTGCAGCTCGAGGATACTGTTTTTGGATTAATCAAAGCGGAAATAACTTGTTCCAATATAGTTTTGTGGTTTTATTCGTTTGCCTTTACTAATACATTTGCACACTATTAGAGTTAAATTGTCTATTATTATAAATAAATTAAATCATTATATATTATATTAGGTAAATTTAATATTGCTATAAAAATGTTTGTATGATAGAATTCAGTCACATTTAAATACATTTTAATGAAATTTGTTTCACGAGTAAGTTTTATCTTAATATATAGGATATTTTATATACATACTAATTTACGCGGGAGAAGTTGCGGAAAGTTTGCCTCTATACCACTACACATAATATTTATTTACTTATAAAAATACTTGTTTTTATTTCTCAAAAGTATAAAAAAATTATTACAATCCGAGTCTTCTCTCTTATTTCTTCGCTTTATTCAAAATCACGCAGGGGATTTTGGTACGGCTTTCACATATATGTTTTACAAAAGATTTGTGTGTATAAACTTCCACGGTTGTGAAATCGGGGCGAATTGCTTATAAAAATTTATAATAATAATATAATCTTGTAATTTGTATGTGTATTACAATGTATTTCTTTTTTGTTCCAGGAGAAATCCGGCGAGCCTTATTCCGGTAAATTATCGGTAAAGTCGGATCTAAATCCTGTTTTCGGTGAGTCATTATTTTATTTTATTATATTAGTTATCTAAATTTTTTCATCATCGTCATCATTTCAGCCATTATACGTCCATTGTTGGACATAAGTCTCCCCCATAGACTGCCATAAGGAACGATCTCGAACCACCTGCAACTGACTTCCTGCAATGCATTTGAGGTCGTCAATCTATCTAGTGGGGGGAGGTCGTCCTACACTACGTTTGCCCTTATAGGGTCGCCACTCAACCTTTCTTCCATTTCGTCTCATACATTTTTAAAAATTCATAAAATTTCTTTTAATACATAAAAAATTAACAAAGATTAGTAAACTCACTATTATTATCGCGTCGCTAGTATTTCTTGATGTCAGAATCGCGCTCTCGACCCATCATTTAACAGTTACTAAGTGATTCATCAAATACAATTGATTATAACTTTAGACTTTCTTAAGGTCATAACCCTATCACAAATCAAGTTATATAGTATCTTACATATCAAAAGAAATATAAAAATTTAATAACTCATTAGTCATTTATTAAAGATACCGCGGCTTTGTAAGTCTCTTATTAATTAGAACGTAGGTATTTCTAATTATATACATTTCAAAGTTAATTCAAAGTCAATTATTCAAGTCTGGACGTTGCAATGTAAAGATGGATTTACAGCAAAATATGAAATTTAAAATATGTATAGAAGATAATTAAAATAATAAGCTAAGAATAATTTTTTACTGAACTAGGTGTCATTTTGCGGAATTCCATATCACTGAGTATTTAATTAAAATTATTTTGTTTATGGCATTTTTTTTATGGTAGAGGAATTAAACGAAATAATTCTAATCAAATAATAAAGAATAATTATGTTATGCAATTTGGAACTACCAACAAGTTGGCTAGCCTTGGAACTGGACTGATGAAAAGTGATAATGTAATAGTCGTTTATAATTTTTTTTATACAACTTAGAATGACAAACAAGCTGACGGTCCACCTGATGGAAAGTGGTAACCGTCGCTTATAGACATGAGCAGTACCATGGACATAACAGAGTATACTGTCTCGCCCATGACACCCCCCATGCGTTGTCATTCCTGAGGACTCAGGTGTTATTCCTCTGTACCCTGTAAATTCACGCCATATCCCACCCTTTAATCTGAAACACAGCCATGCAAACACAACAGCTTCACGGTTGAAACACGAATGGGACAGAGGTACCCAAGCAATCGACTTTTGTACAAAGTCTCCCTCTGGTACATATGAACAGTAACGGTAACCATCGTCTAGTAGTCATCGTAGAATACTCTGTTACTCCCATAGTATCCCAAACGCGTTGCCAATCCAGAATACAAAAGTACTATATCCACTGTTATTTATGTAGTCTTCAAACTGATACATAGCCTTTAAAACACAACTGCTTAGCAAAACTTCTGTAATCAAATTAAATGTATATTGTGAAGTCTTCTGTACGTAACTCTTTAGAATGGAAAAACAGTTTCGCACCATATTTGGCGCCGTATTTATACAAGAACTTCATTAACCTATCAAAATCTTCCAAAAGAGCATATTATGGGCTTGGGAACGCGCACGTAACACCCTTGGTGTTGCGGGCGTCCATAGGCTACAGTGGCCATTTACCATCATATAGGTTGTGTGCTTGCTTGCAATTTTATGGTATAAAAATAAGATTTTGTTCCACAACAAAAAAGCCGGTCAGTTAGCTCATTGTGATCAATACACCTGGAATTCAGCAGGATTCGGTCGACCTGATAGGGTATATTAATAGCAATGGGGACTAACCTCCCCATCACTAACAATTCCTTTCCCTCACCCTAATGGTTAGTTCTACCTGTAGGTGTATCACTCGGGCAGAATTGAATATGGTATATATTCAATTCTGCCCGATTTGATTGTCAACCGTGACTAAAATTTTGACGGCACGTCACACTCACTGTCGACACCCTTGTTCTTTACGTGACAGGTGATAACCCTTCTCAGTATTTCATCAGACAGAATTCAATAATAATGGCCTTTGTTTCATTTATTTATATTACCGAGACAGCCCTAGTGATGTAGCCTTAAAGTACCTTAAAATCGTAGGTTCAAATCCCGGAGAACAAAGTTCTGAAACACTTTTCTTGTGATGTTTTTTTTACACTACTGTGGTGGCCAACAAGCGTACAGCTCGTTTGATGGTAAACGCGGTTATCGTAGCCTATGGGCTCCCGTAACACCAAGGATGTCGCGCGCGAGTTGCTGACCTCTAAACACCGGTAAACACCATTAAAAAATAAGTTGAAAAATAATATATGACTCATAGTATCTAAGTTTTTTGCAACTTGGACTTGTCAACTAAACTGATGGTGCATCTAATTAAAAATGATAACCGTCGCATATATGTTGATATCAACAGCACTATGCACTTCATAGGATTCACCTGTGACGCCCATTATGCCCCTCATAACTTATCATTCCTGAGATATATTTCCATATATTGTAATATCGTAGTGAGTGACAAAAGCTTCACCGACAAGAGCGTAGTTCTTAAATAGGATAGATTGATAGATTGTAATATCATTGATATACAAAATGAAACACAAACAAACATATGTTTAACTGCAGAAACACTAGTAGGACAAAGGTACTCGAACTAAAAGACTTGTAAAAATCCTCTCTCTAGTAAGTCTCTAAAAGTCTCTAAAAATGTAAAATTTAATAAATTAAGTTATGGAAGGCCAACGTCTTAAAACACTTACGTTTTATAATTGCCAAAGCCCGATTTCGTGATACGACGGTAGGCTTATTAGAAACTCCATTATGTTCGATGGATTATGGGCAGAATTAACCTTCGTCCTGTTTTATTTATCGAACAAAGACACTGACATTGTTGTGTGCAGAAACTCTCAGTTTAGTGACACAATTAGTGTGATATAGGACAATGAATAAGTAGAAGAAAATACTTCTGCCTCAGATGCGGAAACATGTCAGCGTTACATCATTCTACTCGTGACCACCTTCGGAGTAACTTCGATTAACTTAACTTCGATTCGACGGTCGACACGTCGGAATAAATCTAGTAAATTATCATAGTTTACTTAAATGATCGTATTAATTCTCATCTCTTATTAAAACATGGCCAAAATTTACCACAATTGTTTCGATAGACGTGGACAGACATTTTCTGAACTCATCAGTCAGTTTGTTTGCTCAGATCTCATCTTCATCATTAAGTACGAATAAATTAAAAATGCCACAGTCACGTTCACAACGAAACAATTTTTCCCGTATGGCACTTACAGACACTTACGCGTAAAAGGCTAGTGATGTGAAATTGATTTCCGTGGAAGTAAGCACGATAGGTGGGAATTATCGGGCCGGAGTTAATGCCGGGGCTCGGCTCGGGGCCATTACGTGAGAATTATGTATGTTTTATCGCCAGCTTATAATCATCTGTCACTATCGTTACAATATTTTCGTATAATTTCATCTGGCTCCACCTCTGGATAGTGTTTGACGTTGTTAAAGATTTTTATCGATAGTTTTTGTATATTGTTTTTATTAGTTTATTGATGAATTATTACGGGTATAATTGTGTAATAAAATTAATTGAAAGTTGAACGAGTGATAAATGCTGTATGTATAGTTTATTAAAAAATCAGGCCTCAAAGAAATTAGCAAAAGCAGTTATGACGAAGTCAAAGCGATATATAAAGGAGAGCTTTAATATGATAAGTATATACCTTATATTTCGTACTAACTATATCCCGGGGCATCGCCCGTGGTTATATTGTGATATTGAATAATTTTTCTCTAGAAATGGTCTATCAAATGCAAAAAAATATTATTCAATACCAATTGGTAGCTACAGAAATTAACACGTTCAAACAAACAAATAAACTTTTCCGTTTTTATATATTTGTATAGATTAATTTCACATAGTTATTATGAAAATATAAGGCAAAGTAAATAAAACATAATTGATACATTTATAATATTACAAGAACTAACTCGTCTATTCTGGATGGCATAACTAGTACTTTTCTAGATGTGGAATGTGTCTCGAGTCTCAAGTGATCCTGTCTCCGTCTCGAGGCAATAAATATGTAGTAGTGTAATAATCAGCATGTCATGTAGTTTTATTGTATTCAAATTTCAACTTTGAATGATATATATACATATAAGGAAGCTGAATTCTCTCACGTCTGTATGTTTTTGTTTAAAGGTATATTGCTAGCGTCATAGATGGTATATCATTGATGGTTGATTATACTCGCATACAAGTACACACAAATCATGCTGAATTAATTTCGTTGGTAATCAGTTGTTTTATTGACGCAGAAATTCATTCAGTATCCGAACTGTACTACGATAAGAACTAAATTAAAGTAAATTAAACCTTATATTATTTATTTAAAGTTTACGTTGATTAAGTATTATGTGAATCTTAGTTACTGTCTAGCTTTCTAAATCAAAAAAAGTCGTTTAAGGGTGAATTTGAAGTCATTATTTTACTAATATAATAAAATTATAACAAGTCGACGTCTGTACATGGGAGATATTAAAAAAAAATATTATGAGGGATCTTAACAAGACCAATACATGCCATAACAAAAATTTTTAGAAATTTTATCTCTCTGTCAGTTTAATTATATGTTTGTTCCGGTATCCCGCAAAAAGTATTAAACTATTGCAAGTGTATAAGTGACCGCTTTTAATCAGATATGCAGTTAGTTGTTTGCTATTCTGAGTTGCGTAAAAAAAACACATTTAGATAAACATATAAAGCCAGTCCGATGAATACAGGTATGTAACCAAATATAGAATCAATTGCTTTTATTTTACATATAAACGAAAAAAACACCTGTAAATTTCGCCATTGGCATTAAAACACTTAAAATAGATATCGATAGAATTTCTCGCACATCATCGACACACGCGCATTCCTGGGCCGCGTCCGAACGCCTCGTTATTTGTTGTTATTAGTGTTGTTTTTTTTTTTCGTTATTTTTTACCTCGGGATG